GGCTTAACAGTTCCTAAGAAGCAGAGATCAGTACAAGTGTTTTTATTGTTGTTTTCTGGGCTTTTTTTTTTTTTTTTTAGCTACTTAGAGGTATAGCTATTATAGTAATAGCTGGTTAAAGATCAATTGTAATGCTACAAAAGAATATTTTCAAAATAGTTCAAAGTTAGCCTGAAGAAATGTCCAGGAAATACATTACAAGAAATTGTTTCTGCTAAATCAAGCAAAATCAGTCTGTGCTGGAAGTAAACACTAAATCAATCATTTCTGCATGCTTGAGGTTCAACTAGGTTTACTAAAAACAAGAAACCAATAGTATGTACAGTATCAGGAGGTGCAAAGCAGAAATGCAGAGAAATAACCTATGTTGAATGCTGGATGCTTTTTATATGTGAAATCTTACTAATTTTTAAACTCATCGTGTGAAGTCAGTATAATCCAATCCCTTTTTGCAGATGAGGAAACAAACTCAGAGAACTGAAGTAATTCACTAAGATCCCACAAGGAATACATGGCAGGGCAGATTCAAAACTAGTTACTCTCCTAAGGATAATAAAAATTGAAATTATGTACAGTGCTTTTCATTCTTTTTTTTTTTTCTTTAGAGAGATTTTTGCTATAGGGTGTGTGTGCTCGCCAGAGAGACAGAGAGTGAGAAATCACCCCTTGAGGAGAAACAGCCACACTTCAATCCCTTCTCCTCCATTCTTGTCTTGGGATTTTGGACATGCACACACACACACACACACACACACACACACACACACACACATGACCAGTGTGAGTTTTAAGCTGCTGGATCCTGGACTCAAACCACAGTTGACTACATGGGAGCCCAGTGATGTAAAATTTATGCCATCTTCTGGTCCCTGGTGCTTTTACTCTTAAAGGTGACCTAGCAGGATAAAATTCACTAGTGCTTTCTCTTCTCCACTAACAATTTGTAATACAAATGAAAATAGAACTAAGGTCCTTTGGTGGCCAGATATCACTCAGCAGGTCTAAGGATGGCCATTCAAGCAGTCTGCTTATTTTTAAGAGTTGTTGGGTAGCTGTGCAGGAGAGCATGCCTAATACCACCCTTTTGATATCAACACCTCTGTAATGAATGAACAAACAGCTTTTCCTGGAAACATCGGTATATACGAATGTGTTGGAGAAGCCAGGCTTCTGTTTCTTCATTTGGTACAAAGAAATCCTTCCTATCCTCCCCAGGAGAACATGGGTGGGAAGCAAAGGAATTATTTCAATAACAGTCACTGCAGAAGGTCAAAGCTAGGTTGGCATTGTCCTCAATAAGTTATTGTGACTATGGTCCAAAGTCTGGCAGAATTTTTTTTAATTGTTTGGTTTCATTTTTAGGTGCTAGACAGCTAGAACACCACAGACAGTTCTGGTGCCAAGCCACAAGAAGAATGAAAGCCCAGGATTTTCCCTGGGGCACCAGCTTCCATTTCAATTGAAGGTGAGGATAAAATCTGCCCAAATGTGTAATTTGGTAACTTCCTACAACAGAGCTGGTACTTAATGCTTACTCTGGCACTGGAGCCCAGGGCGAGCAGAAGGGAGTTCAGAAGACCCACAGGCAGGGCACTTTCCTGAGAACTAGAACAGTGGCGAGCAGAAGGGAGTTCAGAAGACCCACAGACAGGGCTGTTTCCTGAGAACTAGAACAGCGACCTTCTGGTTGCCAGTAAGTACTACCTGATGTGACTGGTTTGGATTTTCAAGGCTGTAGCGATCTGGAAGATTTTTTGCAGTTGAGCAAATGCAACATTGAAATTTTGCAATTGAGCTATATTATTGTTATGGACTTTGTATTCATAAGTTTCTTAGGCTATGTGGTCAGAGGGAAATAGGGCTGCCTGGTATCAGATTCATTGAATCCCAAATGACATTATAATGAACCGGTTAGGCAATGATTGTGGGGACAAGCTCCTCAATGAGATCAAAGAGCTAAATCAGAAAGGGTTTTGTTTGTTTGTTTCTTTCTTTGTTTCTTTGCTTGGGGCAATGACAAGAAAGCAAACAAAACTATGAAAAGATTTCATTCTTCTTTCTTAATAGGAGGAAGAACAAAGTAGGAAAAACTAACTCTTGAGTCGGAATTCGGGATCTACCTCTTTAATTATGTAATCAAATGAAAATTGATTAGTATCTCTGATAACTGTTTCCTTCTTCTGTGTAAATGGGTATTGTATCATTATAAAAATAATATAAGGTTTATAGTATTGTTTTAATATATATATATATAGAGAGAGAGAGTGAGCGAGAGAGAGAGCATACATATATATTTGCCCCAATTTTCCTTAAGCAATGAAATCCTTAAAATGGAAAGAATCTCATGGACTTGATACAAAATCTCAGGAGTAATTTTTCTTTTATACTGTCCATGCTTTTGGGGGTGGGCAAGGATCTAAGGAAGTTATAGTTCTCTGCCTTGTGCTTTCTGTCTTTTTCCACGGAACAAATGACTCTGGCCTTGATTGCTTGGCATCTTTCCCAGGCATATGGCTCCCTGCACAGTATTGAGTGTGTCCACTACAGCAGGTGAGAGCTAAGGGCACTAGTTCTTTTTTATTTTTTATTTTTCCCCAAGTTTTGCTGTAGAGTGTATGCACTCACTGGAGACAGACAGAAAAAGAGAGGGCAAGTAACAAAGAAACGCCCCGCCCCCCAGAGAGAATGAATGTACCACAATCCCTTCTCCTCCATTTTCCTCTTGGGATTTTGGGTATATTTGCACACACCCCCATCGTGACTTTCAAGCTGTCAGGTTAGGGCTTAACCGGTACAGGAGGCCATGTGGGATCTAACCATTTTAACCTCCAGGCCGTCTGCTGGCCCAGAGCAACAGTTCTTCAGCATATGTCTTAAGAAGCTCAAGAAAGGTTGCTGGGTTCTTTTGGTTTGTTTGTTTGTTTTCAAATAATAACTATGGTTCTTACATAGGAATACTCAAGAGAGAAAACCTTTCCCTAGATCAAGTAGGTGTGATTTCAAGTTATAAGAAAGCTCCCTTTTCCAAATAGCTCCTACACACTGCTGATAAACCATCAAAAGTACAATTTGTGTGAATCTTATGACATTCATTTCAGATATATATATATATATATGACTAGATCCAGCCATGGCAGCTAAGATTTGATTCCCAGACCAACCCAAAGGCCAGATATGGTGGAATGAGCCTATACCTTAGTGACTAGGGGATTGCTGAGGCAGGGGGATCATGAGCTTGAGGCTGGCTTGGGCAACATAGCAAGACCCTGTCTGGGGGAAAAGAAAATATAAAAGTAAAAAAGGCTCCTATCATCCCAGCTGGGAGACTGAGGCAAGAGGATCACAACACAGCAAGATCCTATATTTAAACAATAATAATAAATACATGACTAAAGAATTGCTGTGAGTCCTTTGTACCTTACAAGGAATTGATGAGTGTAAGTTATGCTGAAGAAGGTAGAAATCAAGAGGGGAGGACTGGGACCAGCAGTTAATGTAATGGCTATGTCACTGGACTCCCATGTAGTTGACCGCGGTTCAAGTCCTGGACCCAGTGGCTTAAACTCATGCCGGATGTGTGTGCGTGTGTGCCCAAGATCCTGAGAGGAGAAGAGATTGTGGCATTGCCATCCCCACTGGGGGGGGATTTCTCGCTTTGTGTCTCTCTGTCTCACTCTTTCTGGCGAGCACACGCACCCTATAGCAAATAAATAAATAAATAAAAGAGGGAGGACTCACACCTGTCATCTGGTTGGTACAGGGCCTGCTACCTCCACCCCGTTTTACCTGTGCTCCCCTGGCACCTCCTTCCTCAGGGCCTTCTATTTGGAAAGCTTTACTAATTTGAGGTAAAAGTCGGTCACCAGCACATGCCTGGTGTCAAAGATCTCAAAGGCCCTGCAGCTGTTTCCCTCTGGGAGTCCTCTCCTGTTAGATCCCCAGGTTGGTCAAGATACAGTCGGCAGCTGTGCAGAAAAGGACTTCACCCCTTTTGGTCATTTTCACCGTGTCCATTTGAGAATGTCTGAATTATGATGGCCGCAATGACAAGGGCTATACGGCTGACGGAAGAGTATGCGATTAGGGATTTAAGGTCTGTTTGGCGCAGGCAGATGGAGCTTGTTATAACTATACCTCATATAGATGAGATTAGAAATGGGTAGGGTACGGACTTTGTTAGTGCTTCACCACTTGTGGTCATTTTCACCATGTCCGTCTTGAGAACGGGCAACTCAGGTGACGGATGCCGTTGAAGAACAGGGGTGTCCGACTCCTTGCTCTCAAGTTTCCCTCTGGAAAAAGCAAGTTCCTGGCATGGAAAAGGACTTATTGTGTACTTTTCCTGATCAGCAACACTTTCTCTGACTTTTTGATTCATGATGCCCTGCCCTTTATCCTGCCCTCTCCTTATGATGCAGAAACAGAGAAAGTCCAGGGAAGGCAGCTCTTTCCATCATAACACATCCGTAGAGCCACCCACTCAGTGAGCTCAGGCTGCTGGGACACCCCCTCCTTTCTGTGGCTGCCATCGGCCTCAGGGGCATGGAGGAAGATATTAAGAAAGAATGGAAAGAGGAAGCCTCTTAACCCATATCATCAATATTTGTGACCACTGGGACCAGCAGTTAGCTTAATGGCTATGCCGCTGGACTCTCAAGTAGTTGATTGGAGTTCGAGGCCCGGACCCAGTAGCTTAAACTCAAGCCGGGCCTGTGTGTGTGTGTGTGTGTGTGTGTGCCCAAGATTCCAAGAGGAGAATGGAGGAGAAAGGATTGCAGCGTGGCCATCCCCCAGGGGGGTGATTTCTTGCTTTCTGTCCCTCTGTCTCTCTGTCTTTCTGGCGAGCGCACATGCCCTATGGAAAAATCTCTCCCCCCCCAAAAAAAATTGTGTGAGCACCATCTTAATACTCAATGATTCAGAAACTAATCAATGAAGCACACCGTTGTTTGAGAACTAACACAACTTTTCTTTTTGACAGGTGAGGACAGGCAGCCATAATGGAACCCAAACCTCAGAAGAGTCCAGGTAACTTAAGGGTCATCATGTCATAAGGGAAAAATCTTTTTATCAAAAATTATGGTTCCCATCAAGCTAACCAAGATACAGAAAAAATTTTGTCTTAGTGGGGATAACCGGTGGCCTTCTTGGATGATGATTCTTGGTTTGCAAAATGTAGCAGGAACTGTTAGATTCCGTTAATTATTTTGTAAGAGCTAACCTGTCTAGAAATTTAGCATTTTCTGATTTTCGTGGGCCAAATGTTTCATTCGTTGCTTAGAGACGGTACTAATAACAAACTACAGCCCACCAAAGACTAGAGCATAGTTCCTTAATTTGACATAAAATTCTCACTCAGAGAAACTGTCTAAATTGTTCTCAGGGATTATTATAAAGAGTAGCTCAAGGCCTGTAATTCAAACATCCTTGCTCATGTTACATTCCTCATCGTAGGTGAATCGCTAGAAGAGCTGAGTTTGGAATAAAGTAATTTAGAAATCGAATTATCAATTGAACTTAAAAATATTTACAAAAGACTTATTACTAGTTAGTCTCTGTGCTTCATATTGCAGGGGATATAGATTAGTTAATAAGAGTTATTGCCCTTAAGGGTTTTACAATCTCATTGGGTTAAGATAAATATGTGCAAGTAGTTGTATTACTATCAACACATATAATCAGGCTACGGTAGGAACCATGAAATCAATACGAAATGCCATGGAATGTGAAGAAGAAAAAGCCATAAGCAGTTGCAGTACTCCACGGGAGTTTTATGGAGAAGGCATTTGAACGAGACCCTTTAGGATGAGTAGGGGTTGTTTTTGTTTTTGTTTTTAAGAAAGATTTTTGCTACAGGGCATGAGTGCTCCTGGAGAGACAGAGAGATAAAAAGCTAGAACTCACCCTCCAGGGGGGGATAGCCACACCAAAATCCATTCTCTTCATTCTATTTTCTAGATTTTGGGCATGCACGCACATACACCTGATGTGAATTTCAAGCCACTGGGTCCAGGACTCGAACTGCAGTCGACCATGTGGGAATCTAGTGATATAACCATTATGCCATCTCCTGGTCTTAATAAGTATATTTTTGCTTTTGTTTTTGTTTTGTTTGTTTGTTTTTAAGACTGGAAAAGAGAGCATGTCTTAGCAGAAAGGATGGCATGAGCAAAAACAAGGAAGTGTTCGGAGGTAAATGTGTCAGAGGAAAATGTCATAGGTAGGAGAAAGAGAATAGAGGACGGAGCTGCAGAAAGGTAGTGCCCTGTTATAGAGACCTTGACCCTGGACGACAGGCAAACCTTGAAGCGTTTCAAGTATGGAAGTAGCGTCATCAGATTGGCACTTTAGATTGGTCATTGACATACAATAAACTGCAGAAACGTATGATTTCTATGAAAGTTGATAGGCTTTTGCATATGAGACATATATATATGTATATGGCATTTATGACACCTGGAAACCATCACTACAACAAGATAGTGAACACATCCATCACGTTCATGTTTTCTCACACCTGTTTGTAATTCGTCCCTCCAACCTATCCCCACTGCTCTGCTTTCTGTTGCTCTGAGTTTGTATTTATTAGAGCTTTACATAAAGGAAATCATAGAGTTTACACTCTCTTTCTGACTTCTTTTACTGATCTCAATATTATTTAAAAATTCATCTTGACTTTATAAAATGGTAATGTCACCTGCTTCCTCTCATTTATAAATTAAATGAATCAAAGTCCTTCTTAGCCAAATACTTATTAAAGATTTATCAACTATGACACACAATATGAAATAAGTACTGAACTATCTATCAGGTGGTTTTATTTTTGTTTGCCAAAGGGAATGCAGGATTTTCTGGCTGTTGAGTTTCTTAGAAACAACTTGATGCTTTTGTTTTTTTTTTGTTTTCTGTTTTTGTTTTGTTTTTGTTTTTTGGGTTTTTTTTTGAGAGGTTTTTGTGATAGGGCGCGTGCACTTGCCAGACAGACAGAGAGAGACAGAGAGATAAAAAGCAAGAAATCACCTCCCAGGGGGGATGGCTACGCCGCAATCCCTTCTCCTCCATTCTCCTCTCGGGATCTTGGGCACGCATGCACACGCGCCCGGCGTGAGTTTTTTTTAAGCCACTGGGTCTGGGACGCGAACCGCAGTCGACTACATGGGAGTTCAGCAACATAGCCATTATACTAACTGCTGGTCCCGCAACTTGATGCTTTTAAGACCTACACTTATGATTTGCTAGGTGGATTTGGAGCAGCCTTCAACCTAGGGCTAGTTATTACTCATTACTAAAGCAAGGTCTTCCTGATCTGTCTAATCTCTGTAAATTATCAGTTTTTCCAGTCTGGAAACAGTCTAGAGGAAACAGGCACTTTTTCTGACCCTGTGTGTTCTCTGAATACTGTTTAATCTTTTCTAATGGTTCTTTTCCTGGTCTCAGGTAATGTCAATATGCTCATGTGCTGACACTGGTGACTCTTGAATACTTGAAGGGGACTGCAGGTATTGCCTTTGGCTTAGCAGACAAAAGCAAAACCATTTGCGGTGGAACAGGAGGTGGTGGCTGTCTCTGTAGTCTAGTGTTCAAGAGAGCCATCTCACACAGCCCACCATGGTTCAAATCAGAGCCCCGGTGACTTAAAAAACATGCGAGGCATGTGCACATGTCCTAAACCCCAACGGGATAGAGAACTGAAGGAGAAGACATTTCAGGGTCACTATGCCCCCATGGGGGAGTGCTTTCTCCATTTTTCTCTCTCTCTTTTTCTGTCTCTGGTGAATGTAAGTGCCCTCTGACAACTAAAAAAAAGAAGATAAAAGAAAAAAATGAGGTGACAGAAGTGGTAAAATAAAGAGATGCTCAAAACATGGACTGCTTTCTCTATAAATGTTGAAATATTATAGGCAGTTTTGATTTTTAAATTTTTTTTTCCAAAATGTCTACAAGCTAGATGAACCACTTTCATTATTTAGCAAAGCACAGTTAGTGGCTCAGCCTGTTGGCACAGCACGTAGCATTTGAACTGAGACTAGCAGCCACATGGCTAACAGTGGCTCTGATCCCTGACCCTGGCGACCTGAAATACACAGGGGGTGCACGGATGTCTAAGGTCCTCACGAGCTGGAGGGCTGGGGAAGGGGGATTGTGGCATGATAAGACTCTGTCAAGGGTCTTCTCTCTCTCGCTTTCACACACACACACACACACACACACACACTCACACATACACACAAGCACATGCACATGCCTATCATGGATTTAAAAAAAAGAAGAAAAGGAAAAGGAACACAGTTCATGTTATTAAAGGTATTTTTTCTTAAGGAGAAAAAAAAAAAAAAAAAAGAGGTCGGTCTTACTTTTACATCCAGGCTATTGGTCTAGTTTGTTCTTGGTTTTGGAAAAGAAAGCCTTTACTAAGGAATTGGAGCTTCTTTATTAAGTAAAGACAGGATTGGAATTCGGCAGTACAGTCCTTGGGACCATTATGCTAGTATCCAGTAGTTCTGGTGAGATCTCCCCTCCCTCCCTAACTTCTACAGCAACTCTTCCTGCTCCTCCTCACTCTTCTTCAAAAACCCCCTGTTGCCACTTCAGTTTTCGTAGCAGATAGTTTTGCATTCGTTTATTAAATCAAAGGGCAACGCTGAATTATCTTTGCTCCTACAAAGAGAACTGAGACAAACCTTTGGTCACATGTAGAGAGCCAAGGGCATACTTCAGATGCAGAGAGCCACACAGACAGATGCAAGCTGAATTAAGATGCTTCTAAACATCTTCCGAATCAAGGCCCCAGCTGTGGAGGAATAAGAATCACACACGTGTGCTTTGTTTTCTTGGGCTATTATAGATGTTCTTTTCTCTAACTGAATAATTTGCAGCGCTTCCGGAGATAATCAGTGTTTTCCAATTGAAGCAGTTCTTTTCGGAAATTTATGGGGGAACAAACTACATTCTGTTCACTTTCTTTTATTAGGCAAACAATTTACATTTTATTATGAAAATGAAGTCTGCAAACAAGATTACTTTATTAAATCACCACCTCCTCAGCTTTTCTTCTCTGTGGTAAGTATTCACTATGGTTTAACAAGCCTCCCACCAGTTCATGAGCATTTTTTAAAGTTCTTTCTTTTTCTGAGATGCAAAACGTTTTGTTTTTTTCAGGGCTCTTGGAAAAAGCGGTTTTTTATCCTATCAAAGAATGGGGAGAAAGGATTTAGTCTTTCCTATTACAAAGATCATCATCAGAGAGGTTCAATTGAAATCAATAGGTATGTATCCATGCAAGAAAACGTTTATAACAACATTCTAAACTCAAACTATCAAGTTACATGCAAATTGCAATTTAAATAATTGACTGGAAGAATCAAGAACTTCAAGTTTATTTTAATATTTGTGAGTGAAGAAGAATGACAATAATGAACAGTTTGACTTAAAGAGAGTTAAATATTTATTTCATATTGTATATTATAGCTTCTCAATATCTGATAAATAAGCATTCAGTTAAGAAGGGCTTAAATTCTGGGGCTGGCAAGCGGCATGGTGGTAAAAGGCGCTGGACCCCCACATGGCCGACCACGGTTCAAGTCTCTGACCTGGTGGCTTGCTTTCTCACTTCCTCTCTCTCTCTCTGTGTCTCTCTGATCAAACTAGAAAATAATAATGATAATAATAATAAATAAAGTTAAATAAAATAATTCTTAAAAAAAAAGAAGGGCTTTAATTCATTGAATTTGTAGATGAGGAGGAAACAACATTACCATTTCTATTTTTTTTTTAAGAGAGGATTTTTGCTATAAGGCATGTGTGCTTATAGGAGAGACACAGAGACAGAGAGAAAGTGAGAAATCACCCACACACACACACGGGGAATGGCCACTCCAAAATCCCTTCTCCATTCTCCTCCCAGGATCTTGGGCATGCATGCACATGTGTCCAGCATGAGTTTTTAAGCCACCGGGTCCGGGACTTGAACCACAGTAGACTATGTGGGAGTCCAGTGATGTAACCATTATGTCATCTACTGGTCCCAACATTACCATTTCATAAAGCCAAGATGAACTAAAACAATATTTAGACTGGCTTTTTTTGTCTTCTCTTTTAGAAATTATGTACCAAAAAAATTGGAAAACACAATGATCTGTGGACTCAAGAATCCAACTGAAATAGAAATAAATTACTAAATACGGAAATAGAATTTAATTCAAATTACTTTTGAATTAAATTTCATGCTAAACATAATATTTTCAATTTACGATAGATCAGATCCAAAGTCCAAACTTATTTTCTAACATTATTGGACAATCTTCAAAACAGGGACCAAGCACTTCTAAAGTTTTGTTCAATTTGAATTCTAATGTAAAATATTAATCTGTTTTCTTCCTCCCTTTGTACTTACGTTGGTTTAGTACTTTGTGTCTGTATCTAACAGATACTCCAGTGTGGAAATTGGCATAAGCAGCCAGGAAAAGATGCAATCTGTGCAGAGGATGTTTAGATGCCACCCTGAGGAGGTGATGTCCATCAGAACTGCCAACAGGGAGTACTTCCTCATTAGCCATGACAGGTGAGCCTACAGGGACACACAGTGTCTCCTATGTGCAAAACAAAACCAGAAAACATTGCAAAGCAATAAACATGCATTGAGCAAAAACCCATGGCCACAACATCAAGTGTCAGTTTTGGAATTTTTAAAAATTATTTTTATTTAATTTTATTTATCCATTTATGCATTTATTTTAATTTGACCAGAGAGGGATATAGTGAGAGTGAGAATGAGAGAGAGAGAGAGAGGAGAGAGAGAGAGAGAAAGTAAGAAAGCAAGCCACCAGGTCCAGGACTCAAACCGCAGTCGGCCATGTGAGAGTCCAGTGCCTTTAACCACCACAGCGCCTTCCAGTCCTTGGAATCTTTATTATTGGTTAAAATACCTTGCAAGGTCACTATATTAATTTACTAGGGCTGCTACCATGAAATACTACAAACTGTATGGCTTAGACAATGGGAAATTATAGTCTTCCTGTTCTGGAGGGTAGTGGCTCAAAACCAAGGTACGGGCAGGGCCAAGATCCCTTCGAAGTTCTCTGGGGAAGGATCTACTCCAAGCTTTTCTCCTACTCCTTGTACTTTCTCAGAAGGACTCTAGTCTTCACATGGTCTTCTCCCTGTGTACATATCCAGGCCCAAATTTCCCCTTTTAATAAGGACATCGGTCTTATTGGATTAGAAGCGCTCCTACTCCAGTATGACTTCATCTTAACTAATTTCATCTGTAATGACCCTAGTTCCAAGTAAGGTCACATTCTGAGGTACTGGGATTTAGAACTGATACATATGAATTTTGGGGGACACAATTCAACCGTAACAGTCACTGTCACCCCAGATGCATACTAAGTAAAAGAACCCAATAGACGACAACTGCATAAGCTACATATATGAGGGGAGGACCACATTCACCTGTGAAGGGGTCTTTGGGTTTTGTTTTCTTTTCCTTTTTTTTTTTTTTTTGGAGAGGTTTTTG